TAGTGAAAAATCTCAGAGGCCCTGTGTGCAAGTTGTGCTCGTTAAAGATCCCTGGGGTGTTCAAAAACTGATAAGAGGTCGCTGCGGCCATGCATATTATATTGAAAATGTTTAATGTGTCACATGCACTCATATTTCCTTGTGCAATTGCGAGCGCCATAAAGCACTTACCAAAAAAAAAAAAAAGAAAAAAAGAAAGAAAATTAAACAGGCAATCCTTCAAATCCCATTATATTGTTAGCATGCTTTTAAACTGTGCTAAGCCTAAACAGCATTATTTTTCAGGACAGAGAGAAAAAAAAAAACATGCTTTTTTCTTTTAACAATTGTACCTCTAAATTATGCATTTTTTCTTGTTCTTTTAACATTTTGTCTCCGCTTTCAGCCCCACCCCCGCTGTACCTCCTCCCTTGGGCTTCAAACTTTTTTTGCTGCCCTTCTACTCTACTGCTACTCCTTGGCTTCTACTTACAACCAGGCCTCCTGCTTAGATTAGGTAAGATCCAACACCTAACCTTTTCAGACCAGGGCAAAAAAAATCTCAGAGGTCCCTTGTGCACGTTGCGCATGTTACCAAAATTGATAAAAGTAGGTTTTGGTGGCCACCCACGCAAAATTCACAATTGATTCCTACCAAAATGCATGAGCGCGGTAAAGCTCTAACTGACCCCCCCCCCCCCCCCAAAAAAAAAATAAATAAAAAAAATAAAAAGAATAAATAAAACCAAGCAAAAAGCAAAAACAGAACCCCAATATATATTATAGAATATATTTATATAAGGCTGTGTAAAGTAATCTCTTCTACATTGTAAATGCTCAACACCGACGACTATTTTTAATAACAAAAACACCAAAACTACAGACTTGTTGACTGTGTCTGACTCATGACACAGTACTACAAGTAGGCCTACAGCTGATTGTTACTTTCTTCATAGTGGCCATCATGTTCTGACTTAGACGGCTTTGTGCCTCAATTTACAGGCAGCTGTTGGGGCACACTTCGATGCACTATTCAGACTTTTATCGGTTTCTCAGTGTAAAAAAATATAGAGCTTCATTTAGAATTCTGTCTGGGTGGGATCACTGTGGGATCTCCAACCATTTTATAAGTTATCAGAGAAGACTGGTCCCAATGCCAACTCAAATTGGGAATCGAACCGGTTACTTCAGCATGAGAGGCAATCATCCTTTTTTAAAACTAATAATGTCTTAGCCCTTGTATTGATAGCATTGCTGAATTTTTAAAAAATGAGAGTAGATAACAAAATTAATAGTAGCAAAAGAAAATGATGTATCTCTTTTGCTAATGATCAAAGAGTAGTCTTCATGGCCTTTTTGGCAAACAATCGAGATGACACAGGTGTGCATTTGAATTTGAACTAATCTGTCTTTTTTTTTGCACAGATCATAATAATATGCAGGCATTTGAGGCTCCACTTTTTACTTCTCTTTATACATTACTTGCTCAGTGCCTGTTATTATCTACACAAAGCCTCATGTTTGCTATAACGAACACTCGGATTCAACGAGATTTTGGGCAAGACCCGGCGACCTCATTGAATCTCAGTTCCACTGTAATAAATTCATGAGAAATAATAAAGTAGGTCTAATCTATGAGTTTGGTGTTTTGTTTATTTCTTTTCATTTTGTTTGACATGACCTACTCTAAGCTAGGTCTTACTTGATCAAAAATAGAATCAGGTTTCGTTCTCTAGCGCCATTGATGTTGACAGCTCGGCGTTGGCGATCAGAAAGAAAGGGCTCTAGGCTAATTCGCCTGCTGTGTTGTTCCCCACCCCACTACACCCTGTGGTGCGTTCCGTCTGCTTGAGCACATGGGTACACACACAATACCACACCCTGCCCACGTCACATATTCGCTCCGTCCATCACAACACTGTGACCTCTCCATCCCCGCATCGCAGAAGGGAGAGGCATGGCAGGCCTAGATAATCTAGACTAGGCCATCTCGGCCCCGGCCTTCATTGTTGACACACATGGGCTCTCCTCACATTCTTTGTTTTGCTAAATCACCAACAAGTTTTTCAACTAGCGAGGTTCTACATGTATAATTGGCCTATACGCTGTGCACAGCAGCAGCAGTATTCCGCTATAACTATAACCGACTCATGTGTTTGTCTGATTGCACCATAGCAGTACTTAATTTTACAAAGATAAAGAAGGAAAAAACCCCAGAGATTTTACAAAAGTGTCTTTATAACAGACTTCTCGTTATTTCAGGACTCGTTATATTATAAGTGGACTCCACTGTATAAGCCAGAGGCAAAAGACCCACAAACCAACAAAAAATCAAACAAACAGCTGTGGCGCTAGTTGATTATTCATACATACCCATTTCTTAACAAAGATAGAAATGGGATATAGGTTGTCCACAACATCTGCATGCTTTCTCGAAACATGAAAAGAGAATCATTTCCACCAAAATATACATAGATCACCTCCATGAAATAAAAGAAAAAACAATACCCTGTTCTTGAAAATGTTATCATTTTGGGGCTTTGGCAAATATTAATTGTTTTAAAAAATTGGAATGAAATTTTAAAATTACCTAGAGAAGCTTAAAAGGAACTGTGCCAACTCGGCCTACCACCAAAATAATATCTAGCATCGCCAGGTAACAGCCTAAAAGCTGGTGGGCGCCCGTAAGTCCTTTATATTGTAAGGACTCGTGCGCAGTTCTAAAGGATAGGTGTAAGGTGGCGCAAGGACTGATGAGTACAATGTGTTGGATTTTTTAAATGTCAGTCTCCAGGGTCCTTGACACATATACAGCCTAGCTTCTGATCCTAGCTTCTTTCAATTTGAAGTTACTTATAGTTCAGCTGGAACTGTACAAGTAATTAACTGTTACTTATTTTGAGCTGTGCATAGCAATTGCACAAGACAGATCTAGGCAAGACTAACCACATTTTTTCTCTAGTCTCTACTCATCTACCACTAGTCAAGTTGGCAATCGGTGGTATCTCGTACGGCCATCCCCATTTTACTGCCAACTTTTTATGCTCATCCCAAGGCAGGCGGTATAACGAGGTGTGACTGTACTTGAGCATTCTTTCTTCCTTCACTCTAGTACCATGGAATGATGTATGCAGGTGTTCTTTCACTGCCTTTGAATAAATGGACCACTGCTTATGTATAGCTCTTCGAAAATCAAAAAGTGAAATTTATATTTTTAGAGGATTTCTTCAGACATATTTAACACTCTGCCATCACAAGGCTCATATATATAGTAAAAACCCTTGCCATCAAAAGGCAAAAGCATTTCGGGGAAAATCCAAAGAAACTGGGCGGTAAACATTGCCGATCGTTGAGATGTGACGGCAAAGTGTTACAGACTGGAGAAAGCAGCTGCGCCACTTAAAAAGTTAGTCCGTTTCGCTTCGTGTCACATACAATTATATATGTGCAGTGACTCTCACAACTTCTCGTGTTCAGTGCACTGAATGGGTGCAGTCATTAGATTAATTTAAAACACTTACACAAGGCTCGCACAATATGGTGTTACAATGGGGTAAAAGGGGCCCCTATGAACTAGAGGTAGGGCCTACTGTGTTCATCTTTCATTCATAAGGTCCCAGGTTTAAAAACCTGACAGTAGCCAAAAATTTTGCTTCTCCAGAATGTTCTTCTTTCATCCCCTTTTCTTTTCTCTATGTAAAAATCAGTTCCACTGCATGTTAAAGAACCAGCAGTAGACTATTCCTGAGATCCTGCAGGGGAGTGCAAAGAAAGAAGATGAGTTAACAACGAAGTATCAAAGACAATGAATGGACAGCCAAGATTGTTTAATCTCCTGTACAAATGACCAGTATCTCTTCCTTATTATTATTGTTTTCTTTTTTTCTTTTTGCATCACTAAATTATCACATAAATTGATGGGTAAAAATTAAGGCAGTTGTAAAAAGTTTTTCAATTTTTCAAACCAAGTACAAACAAATATACAGTAAAATCCGCTTATACCGACAGGCTTTGGGAAGTGGATTTGATGTCGGTATATAAAACTGTCGTTAATAAAAAATATAAAGCCAAAGAGGAAAAAACAAGGGGAGGTCAGCGGTAAAAAGACAACACTACTTTTAAACACTTTACCATCACAAGGCTCATATATATATATATATATATATATATATATATATATATATATAGATCTATATAGTAAAAACTCTTGCCATCAAAGGCAAAAGCATTTTGGGGAAAATCTCAAGAAACAAAGTGGTAAACATCATCGATCTGCCAGATGTGATGGCAAAGTGTTAACCTGGTTGCTTCCCTTGATTCTTACAGTACACAAAACTACACAGTGAAACTAACAAGAGGGGAGGGGGTTGGAGTTACGGTACCAAAGACCGAGCGGTGCGCACACCAGCGTAAACTTTGTTGTAGCATCCTTGTAAAGCCTGTTTATGGCTGCTTGCTGGAGAAAATGGAAAAGCGAGGCACTGACTCACTGACAACGCTGACGCTCACATCTGTAAGGCACTGTACTGTGTTGGAGACTACACTGTGTAGGCCCTACATGACCTACTAAAGCCTGGTGGGTATGCGGACTTTATGAAGAACTAATGAGTTGACTGTTATCATGGCTTTTTCCCCCATTTATGTTCGTGGGCTTCGCCAGGTACCCAGGAAGCATGTCGATAAAGCAGAGTGGGCCGAAAAAAAGTCGTATTTTTAAGAGAAATTGTATAGTGAAGATATTGAAGGAAAAATTTCGTAATTGGAAAACATGTCGATATGTCAAAATGTCGATACATCGGCTGTCGATATAAGTGGATTATACTGTATGTCAAGGTATGAACACATTAAAGCATGCATGCAGAAGACTTACAGAAAAACTGATCAGTATATGTGCAATTTGACATTAGCTCTGATTCTTTGAACCTGTACATCACAGGAAAAGACATGAGCTCTTTAGGACAAATCATGCAAAAAGAAATGGGAAGGGGATTTGTCTGAGATTGTGTCCAAAAAATCTTTCTGTTGATACAGCCGAGCTCTTGAGCATATTAAGCAGCTCAAGTAGGCAAATCAAAATCAATGGAGTGGGCCTGAGCTTTAAAAGACTCCAACTGATTCCAGAATGGAGACTGACTACTACACACAGCCTCGCACACAGAAGAGTCTTTCACATCAGTCCTATGGCTCTGACTGTTTCCATCACTATCACAAGACTTAACTTCCTTCTCTGACACAATGTGAGAGGAGTCATCTTTCAGACTGCCAAAGTTTTCTTTCACAGAGCCAAATGAAGCTATCTTCTCGTGGAAAGTTGGAGAAAGGAACGCTGGTATTTCTTCAATAAGTACGGAGTTGGCAGTCAAGATGTTCTGCAGTGACATCGCTGCACTGCTACCGGTAACTTGTTCTCTTTTCCTGTCACCTTCAGCAGTTTTCTGTTCAGCTGCTGTTGACTCAGTGCTGCTTGCTTGATTCAAGCCTGGTAGGGTCAATCTTGCGCTGAAAAATCATGAAACAAAGAAGAATTAACAAAGCAGAGTCAACCTGAAGTTTTGGCAACATTTCACTTACTAATAAATAGATTAGGCACACTGTAAAAGAATCTGTTAGCCCAGTTGGTATCATGCTGGACTACTGAGCGGATGGCCCTGGTTTGAATCCCTAATGGGGCGCTCTTGAACGTGGGTTGTTTTGTGGAAATTTTTACGCTCTCTCCCAATTTGGCTTGGTATTATCAGCCATTGAGGTTAAATTCAGATGTCCCGCCTCTTAAATAACCTTACAGTGTTGAAAAGCGCATTCAATCTCTATACAACAACATAATGATAATAAATAGATAATATAAAGAGTTTGATTGTAAAAAAAATCATACACATTAGAGTCCACTTAAATGAATGTTTGAAAAAAAAAGCGTTAATACTTAATGCTTGAAATGAAAACAAGGTTTGTAGCTGGGTTCTTATCAAAAGTGAGTTCCGCAGTGGTTATCATCTATTTGAGAGAAAAGACACATTATGTAGAGCTGCATTTGATTCGAGGTACAAATTAATTTCACAACCATCTAAATAGTTCTATAGAGATCTTTTGCCCAAAAGCTTAAAAAGACAGGTTTGCATAAAACTGGTCTAAAGTTCTTTTAACTCTTACTTTAAGTGTTCAGGGTTTAGATCAAAATTTGTTGGGGTATCTTCCCTTGAAATGCTCATCTAGAATCTAGGATGTTATACAAAAAACTTCATAAATAAGATAAAAAATATATAATGTCAAAAACCACAATATCAGGAAATAAATGATTTTTAAAGAAAAATGTGTGTTCTGATGAGGCGTTCTTATGTGCATTGATGTCATGTAATCATAAAGAAACACTGAATTTTTTCTTCATAAAAATTTTAAAATGTTAATGTCGAATCCAATCTTTTCTCTCTAAATTTCAAGATAACAAATTACCTACAACTATAAAAATATAGCTACTTCAAATTTGAGGAGAAAAGGCAACAAATATAGTCACAATACCCTTTCATCTGAACGGTATACACCCTCATTATTTTTCTTAGTTATATCCACATGAAATGAGCCACCCACTGCATCACTGACAATGACATCATCATCATCATCATCATTGCCTTTCTCACCCTGCACCAGGGTATAGGCCACGGACAAACACCTTCCACCTTTCTCTATCCTGGACTTGCCTCTTGATGTTATTCCAGGTCTTCCCACTGACATCATGGATGCGATATAATGCTAAAACGTTGAGTTCTAGACACTTGACAAAGACAAAGCAGAAGTTGGAGAAATAAAAAAATCAACTCTTCAAAAAGAAGACTGCAGTCAAACACAGGTAACTCGAATTCGTCAGGGATTGGAAATAGTGTTCGAGACTTCCGCAATTCATCATGTCCGTGAAAGCCCCAATTTATACAAAGAAATAGCGAGAAAATCAAGGGAGGTAAAAAAGAACATTAAAACAGTTAACATGCTTAGCTCCCTCGATGACTGTGTTGATGGTGTGAAAGCAAGAAGATGAATGAAAGTGGAGAGCAGAAAATCTCACGTGTGCACAGCCGACTCCTACGTTATTCCTTTCCTCTCATTTCACTGGATTACAGTAAGTTACACCTCTTGCCATCCACATTGCGCGTGTCCCACAGCATGATTGCACCCGTAGCATGCCAGTCATGCAGTGCGGTCAGCATCACTCCCCAACCCCCTTCCCCGTTCCCACTTCCTCCAGCCTCTCGTAGTGAGATAAGGACCACGTTTTGGCTGTAACAATAACAACAAAACACCTACCCGTGGCAAGAAAGACTGTAAAGCTGGGTCTTTAGTTGAGAATGCAAAGTGGATTTGTTCGAGATTCGAGGGTGGTGTGAAGATTTCGAGTGTTGTGTGTTTGGGAACTCCGTGAAGTCAATACAAAGAAAACATAGAGACTGAAATGGGACCGAGCATTATGTTTGAGATACCCGAGAATGGGATTTTTGCGTTCGAGATTTGTGGACTTAACTGTACATATTTTCATTTTATCGCAACAATGATTTAAATAACGCAGTGCGCAGCTCTTAGAACTTAATGAAAAAACTGTGAAACGCAGTGTGTGGTTCTTTAAAGAGTTAAATCCTCATTCCAACCTTTCTGAGGTATAAAAACTTCGAATCTTCTAGGTTATGTTTTCAAGTTTTTAGTCTGAAACCTCACTCGCAGCACAATATAGGTCTAAGATTAGTCAAAGTAATGCTGTGTCGTAGGCTTACTACAAGCCTCAACTTTTCCCCTGATAGACTTTAAAAAAATGTCTTTTCAGAAGCAAGCAGAATTAAGTTGTAGATTTCAACAAAACCACAACCATGTTATTGTCTTCTTTAAACACAAACTCACATCTATTCTAAAAGTGGAACTTGGATATAAAGTCGTCGGTCAGGCCCGACCTTCTATTTTGTTGAATTTGGGTGTTTGTTGAAAGCTATGTAGTAAGCATTTGTATTGCAGGTGCTGGTGTGGGCTGTGTAAAAATGGTAGATTCATTCAAATGCACATATCTGTATCAACATTTTAATTATGATGTAGTATTCTTTTCTGAGCAAAGTGCAGTTCAGGGCTAAGGTTACTGCAATGTTTCCACAGACCAGCGTGCAGCTCGTAACTTAGATTAATGACAAGGGCTGTCCCTAAATTACCAATACAATGGCTAAAAAATGAAAAGTGTTGTCATGATTGAGAAACAGCTTCCACAGTTAGCTGGCTAAACACTCCCTTTATTTCTCAATTCAGTCCATATGAATAGTCAAGTATTTTACCGATTGCTGCATGAGTTGTATGCATGTCATCCATGTACTGATGTCATTTTTAGAAATACAGTAAATGCAGTTTTTACCATTTTACAGGACAGCCAAAAAAGCTGAATGTTGATACTAGGCCAGGGCAAGATCGACTCTGGGATCGATTCTTTCGACTCCAAATGAGGACTCAAAGAATCGATCTTGTTCCATGTTCCCAGACTCTAAGCTTCGAGTCCGCCCAGGGTCGACGCCTCCCGTCTCCTTTTTTTTTAGCCTGGTTCCTAGCCTAGACTCCGAGAATCGAGGCAAGAATCTAAATCTCTACCTCACTATTACAGTCCTGTCATGGGATAGGCCTAGGCCTAGGCGATTATATGACCGTCTAGGCCTAGACCTAGGGCTGTCCCACCCCACAGTCGAGTTTTTTGCTTCAAAACAGACACCGCACCAGGACGCATAAGGCGGCTTCTTTGATGTTGGCCTAGGCGGAGTTAAAAATGCATT